CGAGATTCCAAGCCAGGCCTTGCTCCTAGGGGGTGCCCTCTGCCTCTCTGGGTGAGCCCTGGGCGTGGTTGGGGACCTCTGTGACCTCCGTAAAGCGGGGTATCCAGAGTCTTCTGCAGAGGAGTCGGGGAGACTGAACCAGATGGGGCACAAGCACCCCTCTGCTGCCTCCTGGCACTGTGAGGCTCAGGGAGCGCCATCTGTCCCTAGGGTCACCAGTGACACGCCTCGAGGGCTCCTTGGGCAAGAGTCTTGGGCAGAGTGCCCAGAGCTCTGGTTTGCCTTTGACTGTTGTGTTGCTGTGTGGCCTTTGGCAAGTTACTTGCTGTCTCTGGTCCTCTGCTTGACCTCAACCAGCTTTGGAAGTCTGCGAGCGCCTTGGAGAAACAAAGTCTTGGGAGTCAAGCGGACTCGGGCGTGACCCCTGCTCATTTCTCTTCCGAGATGTGTGACCTGGGCCTCTCTGGCTTGGAGGGGTAATCACCAAGTTCTCTGTGTGATTATGTGTTCTAAACCTGTCTTCTTGTTTCTCTGGTGAGTGCCTCGAGGGCCGTCGTGGGCTGGTGTCCGTGGCTGCCTCGTGAACTCCACCCTCAGCCTGGGCCCAGACCTCATGCTCAGAGCCACAGGACCCCCCTCCTGTCCACGCTGTCCCCAGAATGCCCCCGGCCTTCTCGCCCGCAGCCCTGGCCTCCATCTCTCAGGATGGACAGGGCACCTGAGGGCCAGAGAAGTTGGATCCCTGCCAAGGTCACACAGCCACTAAGTGCAGAAGCTGGGACCGAAACAGCCCCCCACAGTGGGGCAGCCGCCGAGAGACCCGTAGGGGACCCCAACGTCCTGACAGCCCAGTTGCCCGTGAGTGTTGGACCTCACTACTCTGCAGATGGGAGGGGGCCGAACTTGAGCCTCTCCCTCCCGTCTGCCTGGGGCCTGGGGTCATCATGCACCTTGTTTATGGCACTGGGGACTGGGCCCGGGGGCTCGGACACTGAGTCCCGGCCCTGTACACATTTTAAGAATCCTGAGACAGGCTCTCGCCTGCTGGCCTGGAGCTTGCGGTCCCCCTGCCTTGGTTTCCTGAGTCGCTGGGATGACAGGCATGTGGCACGTGCTGTGCAGGTCCCTTTAAGAGGTTCTCAGGGAGGAGAGGGAGAACAGGCCACGTGTGGGAGTGACAGCCATATCCATCTTGGAAAGGCCAGGACGACCCGGCCAGCGGGCACCTCAGCCCAGCGAGCCTGATTTTGGACTCTGGGGCTTCAGAGCTGTGGATAACGAGTACACGCTTCTTTATTATTTATTTATTTATTTGATTGAACCCAGGGCCGGTGCTCCACACCCCAGCCTTTTTATTTTTTTTTCAATTTGAAGACAGAACCTTGCTAAGTTGCTGAGGCTGGCCTCAAACCTGCCATCCTCCTGCCTCAGCCTCCCCATCCCTGGGATCCCAGGCCCGGCAAGCGCATGCTGTTTTAAGCTACCAAGTGTGTAGCCGGGGGCTGCCGCCGCCATGGGAAACTCAGACACGGTCAGGAAGCTCCTGGCCCCATCTTCCCAGTGCGCCCCCTCCCTCCTCCCGCTAGGACAGAAGGACAGTGGAGAGCGACTTCTAGGATCTCCCAGCTCCGCTAGCCCAGGCCAGACACAGACTGCCACCTGCCTCCATCTCGCAGGGGAGTCGGGGATGGGGGCATCTTCTGGGCAGGTCCCTGGGCTGCTCGGTCTGTTCTTGTGGCCTCTAGCGCTGGGCAGCTCGGTGAAGCTGTCCAGTGGGAACCCATTTTCCAGGTGAGGAAGCTGAGGCTGCACCCCCAGGCCCCAGCCGCCGGCTGCCTTCTTGGAAAGGCGCTCCCCTCCCCCTGGCTCCCCGTGTTTGTCCAGCAGACAGGGGCCAGCGGGGTCTGGGAAAGCCACGCCGGAGCCCAGTCCAGCTGCGGCAGGGGATGGGAGGGCAGCTCCTCAGTGACCTTCAGCCTGGGAAAACTCTGAGCCCTTCCTGTCCCCGCCCGGCGGCAGCCCCATCCCCACAGCTGTGACAAATTCCCCGGGGGCAGGGGGCGGGGGGCAGCGTCCAGTGGAGCTGGGAGGGGGAGGGGCCTAGGCTGGAGGGGTGGATCCCCGACCCCACTGGTCCCTGGGGTGATCCTGGATTACCGGAAGCCCGGGCTCTGGGCTTGTCTGAGGACGGCCTGCCCAGGCTTCCCGTGGCCCCGCGCGGCCTCCTGTGAGGGTCCACCCCCAGTGGCCTCCTTGACCACACAGCAGCCCTGCAAAGACAAGACCGCTGTCGTCCCAGTTCACAGGCCAAGAAACCGAGGCCCAGAGAGAAGAGAGGACTGGCCAAGGTCAAGGTCCTGCAGAGGCCACGCTGGACTCTGCTTACTACTCGCGAGCTCCCAGGGGAGACCCTGGACCTGAGTCCGGCACGTTC